TTATATGTGTTAGGTGAACGATGAATCTTGTGATGTGATATTTTAGTTCCTAGTTTTACTTTGTTGACATTAAAACTCGTTTTGAATTATTGAATGATTTATATATAAAAAAAAGCATTAGAGATATATTCTTATCAACCGAGTGTCTAGGGCTAATCAATGCATTTCATACATACGAGTATGTATGTAATTCATCAATAGATACAAGTGTCCCGGTAATGAAAAATGGTTGAGAAATTATTATTAGAAACCTAGCCAAATTCTTGCCCTTCATAACCTTTGGACGGATGGTAGTTGTCACTTTCATTAAGCTCCCCCGGATGCCGGAGCTCCGGCAATCAGAAAAGGGTTAAGAAAGGTGAAGTAGACAATTAAGGAGGTAGTTGAGGTACTTGTTGGCTTCATTTTTTGGTGTCAACAAAACTTGATCCATAGAAAAGGCTGCATTTTTTTAGCATTGAACTTGGATTTCAGAATCGAAGCCACTTTTGAACGACAAAGATGTAGGACCATGCTTTTCAATGATAATCAAAGCAGTTATTATGACAAATCCTTCAACATTTGTCTTTTCAAGTTGTCTGTATTAAGTACAGATATTTAACCAGATTCCCAGAACATAATACTTTGACATGATCAATACAATTTATATCCACAGATTTGATGAAGTATATCTTATATATTTCCATGGATTAGAAGTGACTAGCTTATTCTGTAGTAGATATTATGTATAACTATTTTAGCGCTAAGTTCTGTATACTGTGATACGTGCTATGCACATGATGTATTTTTTACCTCGTATTTGGTACAACATGTCACTCACTTAAAATTAGGACACTATTTTTTTTTTTTTACTCAGGCTAAGCTCGAGACTCAATAAGTCGAGCATAATGCTCGTGCCGTTGTATATATATTTTACTTAAATTCAAGATAGAAATTTTTTAACTATTAAGCTCATCCCCTTGGCTTAAAATGTTGATATTTGATATGTATTTGTGGTTTCTTAGATGATAAACAAATATTTGAAGTACAAACGAGATGCATATATGTTTTTCGTACCATATGTTGGTCCTGAAACAAGAAGAAATGAATACATGTATCTGTTTACAACAACTTTAACTTTTAGATAACGTGGATCAGCACAATATTAGAGGAGGCAAAATTTTGGAGTTCAAATCTTGCCGTTAATCAAAAAATAAAATCCGTACACACAAGAGAACGTATTGCATGCAAGATTTAAGTTAAATACGTATAAATGCTCTCTAACCATTAAAATTTACGTGAGACCCACAATTTGTTGACTATGAACCACAGAAAATAATGAACTCCAATACTTATAAGTTAGTATAAGCACGTCCAAACATGCGCATAAAGAACATGCCTTCTCAGTTTTGAAGGTGGGACAAGTTCTATTATTTTGTGGGAATCAAAAACTGACAAATTGGAAATGTGGAAGTCACCATAGCATAGTAGTCACCATATGCTTTTATTGTTGGCAACAATAAAGTTTAATTGATAAAGTGGTTCGTCATTGATTCTATGTTTTCAATCATAGTTGAAATCAAAATGAAAAGTTAGGAACTAATGGTGCAACATTAATGATAAGTTGAAAATTAACTAACTTGTTTTTATAAGTTGCGGACTAAGTTGCAACTTGGTGAAGAATATGAAGACCAACCTTGCAATTTTCCTAATTGTGAACATCATTACCTCGAACTCATTATTTTCATGAAAAATTCCTATGCAAAAATAACGAGACTTTAGTTAAGTACACAGCACAAGTAACTAACTTATCGATAATTCATTATTTATGAGCAGTTTGCGTGAAAATTTATTAGCTCGACTTAATTAATCTTAGACCCACATCTTTATTTTCTATATTTATAATCAATTTATTGATTGATTCTTTTTGACATATAAATTGTTCAACTGTCATGATCACTTGATCTCGACATTCAAGCACGAATCCCTT